TCTGGAGGCAGTGGGGCAATCCCAGCTAGAAGGGACCCAGAGTTCTCAGGGGGAGGGGCACCTCAGCCAGGCTCATGGAGGGCAGCCGAGAGGCTGTGGCCTCGAGGGTGTGCAGGCAGGTGGGTGGGGAGGGGCCCTGGGCTGCACCTGCCCACCTGTCACCTGCCCTGCAGGCCGCTTGGCCATCCGGTACAGAATGTATTGCCAAGTACAACTTCCATGGCACTGCTGAGCAAGACCTTCCCTTCTGCAAAGGAGATGTGCTCACCATTGTGGCCGTCACCAAGGTAATCAGGGACCTCACCTGCCCACTGCCACCCCCTGCCACCTCTGGGCATTCCCTCTGGGTCCTGGCTCCCCTGCAGGGGAGGGTGGGCCTGAGAGCATGTCTGGACTGCCCTCTCCCCAGGACCCCAACTGGTACAAAGCCAAGAACAAGGTGGGCCGTGAGGGCATCATCCCAGCCAACTATGTCCAGAAGCGGGAGGGCGTGAAGGCGGGCACCAAACTCAGCCTTATGCCGTGAGTACCACTGTGGCAGGGTCAGGATCTCCCAGTCTGGGAAGGAAGGAGGACGAGAAGCGCTTGTTCCCCAAGAAGAGAGTCAGAGGAAAACAGGAGGGTGAGAGGAAGGAGCAGGAATGTCCGTGAGGGCTTCTGGAGATGAGGGGAAGGGCCAGGGTGCTAGACCTCAAAGGGGAGGACGGGGCTGGGAGGACTAAAGAAAGAAGGAGCAGAAGCAGAAGACGAGGGCCCGGGTGCCAGAATGAGCCAGTGGGAAGGGCCTTCAGAGGAGGACCTGCAGAAAGTGGAGCCTGTCAGGTGCGCTGGGGTCAGACCCTCGGGCTACCATGACCCCTGGCCTGGCCACCCCCCAGCTGGTTCCATGGCAAGATCACGCGGGAGCAGGCAGAGCGGCTCCTGTGCCCTCCGGAGACAGGCTTGTTCCTGGTGCGGGAGAGCACCAACTACCCCGGGGACTACACGCTGTGTGTGAGCTGCGACGGCAAGGTGGAGCACTACCGCATCATGTACCATGCCAGCAAGCTCAGCATCGACGAGGAGGTGTACTTTGAGAACCTCATGCAGCTGGTGGAGGTGAGCACCCATGCAAGCCTGCATTCGGCTCCAGTCCCGCCACTTCCAGCTGGTGACCATGGGCGTGTCATGCAACCTCTGTGAGCCTGCATTTCCTCCCCCTTGATGGAGCACCTCCTATGTGCCAGAGTTGGTCACTCACCCCATGATGCCACTACAGGGAGGGTGCCACCATCCCCATTTCCTAAGTCAGAAAATGAAGGTTCAGAGCAGTTAAGGGACCTACCTCAAGTCGCACAGCTATAAATTGAAGGGGCCAGGACTTGAATCTGAGTCTGTCTGACTTCAGAACTAGCTTCCTTCCAGCCACTCACAGAACCACATGCTCAGGTATGTGTATATAAGCATGTCCTCATGAGCTACACCTAAAAGACCAGGGTCCCCTGGGCTCCTGCACCTGCACGGATGCCCACGTGTCCCTGCAGCTCCTGAGGCCAGCCCTGCCAGCCCTGGCCAGGCCACACCTGGTGTCCAGTTGCGCCAGGCAGCCATCCAGATGCCCCCTGCACTCACTCTCAGCTCCTTCCCCCTGCTAGCCTGGCTTGGCCTATGGCAGGGCAGGGTCCTGGGCATACCTGGCTAGAGGCTGGTGTCTGGACTGAGCGAGGGTTTGCCCTCTGCCTCGGGATGCTGGTGAGGCCCAGAGTGGTAGCAACACTGGGGTGTCTGTCCAGTACTTAGGTGTGGGGTGGCATGGGAAATGGGCTGCATGTCCGAGTCTGGGGCCTCCCTAACCCCTGCCCTGCCGGAAATAGGGAGCCCTCCCCACTCAAAGCAACTCCCAGCTGGGCAGGACCAGCCTCTGCTTCCCTCTGGTGGTCAGACCTGGGCAGTGCATGCAAGCTGCTGGTGGGGCCCTAGGGGCTGGCTCTGAGTGCCTGTGCTGCCCTCTGTAGCACTACACCTCAGATGCAGATGGACTCTGTACTCGCCTCATCAAGCCAAAGGTCATGGAGGGCACAGTGGCAGCCCAGGATGAGTTCTTCCGCAGTGAGTGCCACCCCACCCCAGTCCTTACTTGCTTACCTGCCTCCTCCCTCCCAGGCTTCCTACCACTCCCCCCATCCCAGAGGCTCTGGAGTCCTCCAGGGACCCCCACACATGTTATAGTCCAGTCTGCCTCTGTCACCCCTGCTGTAAACCCTGCTCTGGCCTCAACACCCCTCACAGAACCACCCCCCCCACCAGGCGGCTGGGCGCTGAACATGAAGGATCTGAAGCTGCTGCAGACCATTGGGAAGGGGGAGTTTGGAGGTGAGTGGGAAGGGCTGGACCCCTGGAAGGGCCAAGGGGCTGTGGGGAGTCCAGGGAACAACCCCACCTCTTCCCCCAGATGTGATGCTGGGCGATTACCGAGGGAATAAAGTTGCTGTCAAGTGCATTAAGAACGATGCCACGGCCCAGGCCTTCCTGGCTGAAGCCTCGGTCATGACGTGAGTAGGGGTAGGGGGAGTGGAGAGGTCGCCCTGGGCCAGGAGGTAATAGGGAGGCTTGGCAGGCCCTAACCTCCACCGTCCTGCCCCAGGCAACTTCGGCATAGCAACCTGGTACAGCTTCTAGGCGTGATCGTGGAGGAGAAAGGCGGGCTCTACATCGTCACTGAGTACATGGCCAAGGTGTGCACCTGCCCCCGATGCAGCCCCCATCCTAGAGCTGAACACTGGGGCTCCAGCTTCCAACTGCCCCAAACCACCCATTGCACCCGTGGGCCCCTACTCCCTCAGTCACCTCCCCCCATCTGAGCTGCAAAGTCACCAGGGCTTAGCTTTTGTCCTGGCTTGTCATTTATTCACTATGACCTTGAACAAGTTGTGTCACCTCACTAAGTCGCAGTTTCCTCATCTGTGAAATGATGATAATGATAAAGTTTACCTCAGAGATTTGTGAGGACTTAAGAGAGACAGTACATGACAATTGCTGAGCACAGTGTCCAGCATGTAGACACTAATATTCATGCAGAAGTGGTGTCCTCATCCCGCCCCTGCTCCTTCCCTCTCCTCACACCTCCCTTGGGTGTCACCATTTACCAGCTCCAGGCCTGTTCCTGGAGGCTGGAGGGCAAGTCTGACCTGTGGGGCTGGTCTGTCTGTCCTGCCCCAGGGGAGCCTGGTGGACTATCTGCGGTCACGCGGTCGGTCGGTGCTAGGCGGAGACTGTCTCCTCAAGTTCTCACTGTGAGTGAAGCAGCCCCTGGGGGCGGGAGGCCCTGCCCAGCTATGGGAGCCCCGTCTGAGGGGACATGTGGCTGGCTCACCTCCAGAGACGTCTGCGAGGCTATGGAATACCTGGAGGGCAACAACTTCGTGCACCGGGACCTGGCCGCCCGCAATGTGCTGGTGTCCGAGGACAACGTGGCCAAGGTCAGCGACTTTGGCCTCACCAAGGAGGCCTCCAGCACCCAGGACACGGGCAAGCTGCCAGTCAAGTGGACAGCCCCAGAGGCTCTGAGAGAGAAGGTGGGGCAGGCCTCTCCCAGGGCCTGAGCAGTGGTGGATGGGGGCCCTGGGTCACCCCTACCCCCAAATTCCCAGGATCTGACACTGCTCCCTTCCACATGGCAGAAATTCTCCACCAAGTCTGACGTGTGGAGTTTTGGAATTCTTCTCTGGGAAATCTACTCCTTTGGGCGAGTGCCTTATCCAAGAATTGTGAGTGTGGACCCTCGGACCAGGGCATGACTGGGGCTGAGGGTAGGGCTTGGAGCAAAGGAGGGGGTGGTAGGGGAGGGGGTCTCATTGGCCCTCTCTCTCCAATCTGAGGCCTAGAAGCCGCAGACCTACCCCCCGGAGCCTCCAGACCACTTCCTGGGCCTGGGTCTGAGGCAGAGCTGAAGGGGATCCCTGAAGCTGAGAGAGGGGTCCCCTCCAGAGTTAGGTCCTGCACCGACTCTGTACCACTCACCTGCCCACAGCCCCTGAAGGACGTTGTCCCTCGGGTGGAGAAGGGCTACAAGATGGACGCCCCCGACGGCTGCCCGCCTGCAGTCTACGATGTCATGAAGAACTGCTGGCACCTGGACGCCGCCACACGGCCCTCCTTCCTGCAGCTCCGGGAGCAGCTCGAGCACATCAAAGCCCACGAGCTCCACCTGTGACCGCCGGCCTCCGCCCAGGTCTTGGGCATGTGGGGACTGAACCTGGAAAGATTGTGGACCTTGGGGCCCCCGCTCACTAGGCTCAAACCTGAACTGAGCCCAGCAGGCTGGTGGGCCTCTTTCCTCTGTCCCAGCCTGCACCCCCTCTGGCCCCCCAGGGACCCCGCCTAGACCTGGCACCTTCTCTCATGGACCCACTTGTGTGGCTTCAGGAGCCCCAACAAAGGGCCGAGAAGGAAGGGTGAGGGGCGGGAGGCAGATGCCCCCTCCCATGCTCAGGCTTTCCTGGCCTCCCGTCTCTCGCCTTCTTAGAGTTTTATTCCTTTCCTTTTTTGAGATTTTTTTCCGTGTGTTTATTTTTTATTATTTTTCAAGATAAGGAGAAAGAAAGTACCCAGGAAATGGGCATTTTACAAGAAGTACGAATCTTATTTTTCCTGTCCTGCCCAAAAGGGTTGGGGAAACCAGGCCCCTCTCTAGGGACCCATTGCCCCAGCCTTGTTCCCCATTCCGTGTCCCGTGTCCCGTGTCGCCTCGGTCGCCCGTGTTTGCGCTTGACCGTGTTGCACTGTTTGCATGCGCCCGCGGCAGACGTCTGTCAGGGGCTTGGAGTTCATGTGCCGCTGCCGCCCGCCCACCTGCCTTGTGAGATGGAATCGTAATAAACCACTCCATGAGGACACCGCTGCCCAGCCTCGGTGCTTCCTCCGCCGAGCCTGCCTGTCCTACCCGGCCCCCCATCCCCGTGCCATCTTGTCCATCCCCCTGTCTCTGTGAGTGGGGCTGTGCTTGCCCTGTGAGTGGAGTGGGGTGGGGAGCACGGCTGGGAGATGTAGCCGCCGCTTTGTGTCAGCTGCACGAGCGAGTGTCCTGTGTCTGCCGTGGGGGAGCTCTTGCCACCCACCCGCCCCCCCATCCTGCTGCAGCGCAGGCTTGGTTCTGGGCCATCTTGGGCTTGGGCCCCGTCCAAGGGAAATGCCTGGGGGTCCCGGCTGCCTCTCCTGCTGTGTTGTTCAAGCCATCAGCACAAGGAGGGCTGAAGCCAAGGACAGGAGGAGGCCAGGCCTGACTAGATGGAGGTGGGGTCCCCTGATAGAAGGCAAGATAAACGCCTCATGCCTCAGAGAAGATGCTGACCCTGGAGGGTGAGGGGGAAGGGGTGACTCTGCGCTGCTGGTGGTTCTTACAGTTTCGCCTAAGATGTAACAGCACTACCCCAGCCCCACACCCAAGGGCCCAGCCTGTACCTGAGGATGTAAAGGAGAGGGCCTTCCCCACCTCACCCTGGGAGGCACAGGTGGAGAATGAGGACCAGCCATGGCATTTTCACTCCCCTCAGTCAGGATCCCCAGGAGCAGTGGTCTGTGCTGAACCTCTGAGGGTTGAGGATGGCTCACTTTGTTCAATGAGACAGGCAGCTGGGGGACCCCCTTGTCATGTTGAGGCTCTGATCCTTCCTGTCCCAGCCAGCAGGACGTGAAATCCAGAGTTCTGACTTTGCAATGTGCCTCATGTCTGCTCCTCCTCAGTCCACTGCGCTCCAGCTGCCATCATCCCCTGGCCCAGAGGAGCAGCTTCCTCACCTCCCCCAGTCCATCCTCTCTGCACACTGCCAGACTCATTTTCCTAAAACCAGACCATTCAGTAACAAATATTTGAATACCTGCTGTGTGCTAGGACTGGAGTTCAGCAGTGAGCAAAACAGACCCTGTGGAGTTCACAGTTAGGAAGACAGTCAGACAATTACAAACTGATAAGTGCTGTGGAAGAAACATGTATAATATGGGAATCGGATCTTGTCTGTAGATCAGGGAGGGCTTCTTGGGAGAGGCAGTATGTACGCTGAGATCAGAAGGACGAACAGGAGGTATGGCGGGGGCGGGTAGCAGTATTCCAGGAAGAGATGCTGAGACTCGTGGGAGGGCAACTGGTTCCAGGATCTCCGAGAAGGCCAGTGAAGATGTACAGTGAGCGCAAGGCTGAGAGGTGTGAAATGGGCTTGGAGAGGTGAGGCTGTGGCAAGGTCTGGCTTTCATCACACAGAGCCATCGGAAGCCAGCAACAGGTTCTGAGCAGGAGGGTGACATGTCAGACACATGTTTTTGAAATGAGCATCCTGGCTGCTGGTGGAGAGGATCTGAGGGGAGCACAGTAAGGACTCATCCATGTGAGAGACAATGATAGGAGTGGACAGACTCTAGAGAGATGTAAGAGGTGAAACTGACCAAACTTGGTAATGGATTTCGGATGAAGGTGAAGGAGAGAGTGGAGCCATACAACTCCTGATTACCAGGAAGGGTGTGGGAGGGCGGGAACCAAGAAACCCATGTTTAGGAGGAGACATCATGAGTTCTGTTAGGGACATCTTGAGTTTTAAATGTGCCTTTGAAACTGCCGAGAGGTGTTGAGTAAGTTATTGGAACCCAGAGGCTGGAGAGGGAAATTTCAGAGTTATCAGCAAGTGGCTTGTCCATGAGGCCATGGCAAAGAGGAAGTCACTTTGAGAGGACATGCAGAAGAGAAGAGGGCCCAGGACCAAGCCTCGGGGGCTCAACATTCAAAGGTGAAGAAGAAAAGGCTGGCCACGCAAGGTGCAGAGGAGGAAGTAGGAGTCCTTGCTTTGGAGGCGGAGGGACAGGCCAAGAAGGAAGAACCAGCAGGTCCCGCTTCCCGGAAAACAGAGAGGGAGACTGAGCCAGCCCCTTGTTGTTAGCCATGAGGAGGTCGCTGGTGACTTTAGCAAGACCTGAGTTGTGTGAGGGCAGATTCCAGATTACAATGGCTAGAGGAGGGTGCGAGCAATTCAGGAAGGTTGACGATCTGGAGAAATTTAGCTGTAATGGAGAGGAAAGAGAATGAGAGAGGATTTTTAAGATGGCAGAGGCTTGAACAAATTTGCCAAAGGGAAGGACACTTACCTTCAAGTCTGCGTACCGGGAGGAGGGCAGGAAGAATGGAGGGGCGAGAGTGGTAGTGATGGAAGGTAGAGCGTTCCTTGGAGCAGGGAAGGTGGCTGGAGTCCAGAGCATGAGTGGGAATGGGCCGGTGATGGGCGAGGGACTGCCCACGGCGAAACTGCAGAGGAGAGAGTCAGGCCGAGGCGCGCTGGTGAATGTTTAACAGCCACATCTGGGGCAGGGGTGAGGCCGGGGGCTCCGATTCATAGTTTGCTGATACCTGTGATGTAGTCTCTCGCCATAGCCCATTTCAAGGTACCGACCTGACTTCACTGAATGCAGGAGTTGGGGAGATTTTGACCACCGGCTCTCACTAGCTGTCCAAGCCAGTTGGGGTTCAGAAACCGGCAAATGGTGCCCCTGGCCATGGGGTCACAAGAGGGGCCAGGCAGGCGACATAACAGAGAATTGGACAGGTGGGACAAAGGAGAGTGAAGGGGCAGCGTCCAGTTGATGGGGACTTGCAGGAATGCAGGCCCAGGGAGCAGATGTTGCACCTTTCTGCCTGGTCGCATGCGTGTCCCCACCCTCGATTCCTGCATCACTTCCTGTTTCTTACTTAGTTTCGGGGTTTTTATTTTCTCCCTCTTTTCTCTCATACTTCCCTTCTGCTCTGTGCCGGCCACTGGCATATCATAGATGCGCAAAACAGTTCTCACCCTGAAGGAACTCATAGAGTGATGGGGATCCCACTCGGGACTCAACTTGGTGCCAAGGAATCTGGCGGGCAGCACCCACCACCAGCACCAAGCGGGGGGCAGGGGAAGGAGGCCAGAGGTGGCTTCTCAGACACTTGGAGCCCAGGCAGGGACAGGGAGCAAGGGCAGTCCTGGCAAAGGAAGGGCACTGCCCAGGCAGAGGTGGTGAGGTGCGACAGCCTGCCAAGGCGCTTCTGTGCAGCCAGGGCTAAGGTGCCAAGGGGTGCGGTTTGGGATCAAGTAAAGCTGAAGGGAAAGCAGGGCCCAGGCTCCACCTGGCTTTGCAGGCCCCATGAGGAGCTTAACTTTATGCAGAGATGATCAGGAGCAATTGAAGGGTTTAGGACGGAAGAGTGACATGGTCAGCTGTGCATTTTAGAAAGATCTTTCTGGTGGCAGTCTGGCCGGAGAGAGGGAGTGTCCAGAGTGGAGACAAGGGGATGTGGTGGGGAGGCTGCAGTCAGCCAGGCAGAAGGTGATTGATGGTGGCCTGGGCTGGGGAAGCTGGTGGGAGGAGAGGAAGTGAGCACAGTTGACGTTTTCCTGAGCTGAGCGCTCACTGTCTTTAGGCCCTGTTTTAAGTACAATAGATGTATTATCTCGGTAACCCTCCAAATGACTCTTGGAGACATACGCTATTATCATCTACATTTTACAGGTAAGGAAACTGAGGCCTGGAGAGATCAAAGAGTCAGGTCACACAATATGAGGGTGGCAAGAGCAAACTGAAGGGCTTGCTGATGGCTGCTGAGGAGGTGAGGCAGAGGAGGGCATCTGGGAGATTCCAGTCTCTGGCTTGATAAGGTGGGGGCACCATCCATGAGACCCCAGCTCTGAAGGAGAATGGGCCAGGGGTTGGAAAGAGGAGTTCAATTTGGACATGTTGTCTGGGGGCCTTTGTGACATCCAAGGAGAGATGTCCCCTGCAGAGTTGGATATTCAATTGAGCCCGCAGCTCCGGGAGAAGCCAGGCTGAAAGTAGAGATTTGGGGATCAGGGGCACAGCAAGGGTGCTTGAAGCCAAGGGCATGGACAAGCTTGGCCAAGGAGCACGTGGAGAACAGCCGTAAGGAGCCCCCGTGTCAGAAGCCAGGAGGAAGAGCAGTGGCAGAGACACAGCTAACGGGCAGCCTGGGGGCAGGGGAGAGGCAGGTGAGCCTTGAGGGGCCTCAGAGCATGGGGCAGGGGAGGGGAAGAGAGGATGTGAAATGTCCACAGCATTTCACGTTGCAGAGACCGGGCAGAGAAGTGTCCACCAGGCACAGAGAACAGGGGCCATTGGCAGGCCTCAGTGGGGTGGTATTCGTGGGGCGGTGGGGCAGGAGCTGGAAGGACTGAGGGGGAGACGGGGCAGTAGGGCTGGAGTGGGCCCACCTTTCCATAGCTGGGCCATGAAGGTGATGGGGAGAGCGGGTGGAGGTGGCTGGGGACTTAGTGTTGAGAAATGAAGTTTTTCTTTTTTTTTTCTTAAAGATTGGCACCTGAGCTGACATCTGTTGCCAATCTTCTTTTTTCTTCTTCTTCTTCTTCTTCTTCTTCTTCTTCTTCTTCTCCCCAAAGCCCCCTAGTACATAGTTGTATATTCTGGTTGTACGTCCTTCTGGTTGTGCCATGTGGGACACCACCTCAGTGTGGCTTGATGAGGTGCCATGTCCACGCCCAGGATCTGAACCGGTGAAACCCTGGGCCACCGAAGCGGAGCGCACCAACTTAACCATTCGGCCACAGGGCGGACCCCAAAAGTTTTTCTTTCAGCGTATCTGAAAATTTCCCATTTACAGCCTTGATTTTAATTAATTTGTGGGGCTTCGGTAGCTTAATCCTACTGGGGACCCAAAAGTACAGTAAAACTTCAGCTATCCAGAATTCTCGGCAAACAAGCCACTCTGGAAAACCAACATTTATTTGGATAAAAATATTTGAAATAAAGGATTTCTTACTTTTTAAAAACATTTTTTTATGGAAAATATCAAACATACAAAAGTAAAGAGCAGAATATAACAAACTCCCATGTCCTCACTGTCGAACTTTGACAGTTAGCACAAAGCCAGTTCTGTGCCATCCACACCCCATTCCCCCCAAGCTCTGAGATATTTGGAAGCAGATCCTAGACATTATAGCAATTCATCCAAAAGCTTTAGTACATTTCTCCAGAAGACAAAAGACTTTTAAAAAAACATAACCACAGGGGCTGGACTGGTGGTGTAGTGGTTAAGTTCACAGGTTTGGATCTCAGGCGTGGACCTACACACTGCTCATCAAGCCATGCTGTGGCAACATCCCACGTACAAAATAGAGGAAGACTGGCACAAATGTTAGCTCAAGGACAGTCTTCCTCAGCAAAAAGAGGAGGATTGGTGGTGGATGTTAGCTCAGGGCTAATCTTCCAAAAAAAAAAAAAAAATTAGGCTCCAAACAAGGCCCACATGTTGCATTCATCTGCTCTGTGTCTTAAGGCTCTCTTTCTTTTTTTTCATATGATCTATTTCTTGGGGAAACCAGGTATCCTGGAGGCATGAGAATTTGGGAACATGGGAGAGAGCTGAGCACCACAGCAGAGAGCAGGACAGGGGAGGGTGGGGACATCCATCTTCGGGAAGGAGGCAGGATGTGGAGGCCCATCCCCCAGAGCAGGGAAGAAAGGTCAGCTGCTGAAGGGTAGGCCTATCCCAGGAGTCCCCAAGGCCCCTCAGCTGCTGGAGCCGAGGAAGGTAGAAAGATGGCCCCAGCTGAGTCAGGTTGGCAAGGGGTCTGGCTGCCCCCATCAGGCTGGTGGTAAGCGGGGCGGGGCCTGAGGTCAGGCCTGGAAAGAACAGGATGTCTGTGTTGGGGAGGAAGGGAGGGAGAGGACAGTGCCAAAACCCAGCTCCTGGCCAATCCCCAGCTCCTCCCCACTTGGCCCAGTCCCAGGAGCCCATCCCTGGCCTCTCAGCTACCAATCTACCCTGGGGCCCGGCTGCCAGATCCCTTCACCATGCCGGTGGTCAGTGGCCCTAAACCCTTGCTCTGCCTTCTCCTCTTTCTGCTCCTGGACCCCTACAGCCCTGAGGGGGGTCGTCCTCCTCAGCGAAGGTTTGAATACAAGCTCAGCTTCAAAGGACCACGGCTGGCTTTGCCTGGGGCTGGAATACCCTTCTGGAGCCATCATGGAGGTGAGGGATGGGGTGGGGACCAGCCATGCCCAGAGCTCCTCAGAGTGCCGGAGGGGCTGATCAGCACTGGGTGGCTGTGACTTGGTGGGAGCAGGCCTACCAGTACTAGCCTCTGCCTAAGATGGGGCCAGGCCTGGGGCAGGCAGTGCCAGGGGCCCCAGGACCCCTCCCAGGCTTGTCTCTTGCTCTACCACCACAACCCCATCCCCAGCCACCAGCCTCAGTTTCTCCTCTCTGCCCCTCTCCTTCTCCGCCCTAGGACTTCTCTCTTCTCCTTTTCTCTCTCCTTGGGCCCCCTCTCCTCCTCTGCCTCTTGAACCTGTGAACACACACACACATACAGATACACACACACATGCTCACATGCTGAGTCCCAGACAGATGGACTCGAGGCAACTTGGACCAGCACAAACCTCCGCTCTCCTGGCTCCGTGCTGTCAGGCCTTTGGCTGTCCATGAGCACTGGGGGGCTGCCTGCAGGGAACCATCCTCACAGCCAGCTGTTTTGCCAAAGAGGGCGCCAGCCCTGCCCTGTGTGTGTGTTGGGTGGAAGCAGGCATGAGAGCACAGGTTGTGTTCTGGACTTTCTAAAGCCAGAACTAGAAAGAGTCTGTCTTTTACTTAGTCTTGTTCACAAAAGGATTTTTGAGGACTTACAAGGACCTATGCAATAGAGAGGAGCTTAAATTAAGAGTGAACCAGAAGAATAAGACTTAGGGTTACAGCTGGGGCATGAAATCAGTCTAGGAATGTGGCTTGTTGCCAAAACATATGCTACAAGGTCTGCCCACCCTTCAGAGTTGGGCCATAGATCTGGTTCAGAGCCTCCTAACAGGCAAAACAAAGAGAGAAAACAGATCAGTCGTGTATTTCTGATGTCTGTGAGATGTAAGTTCTGCGAAACGGCATGATTCCTAAGTGAGAATAGAACAAATATCCCTTTAAGATGGGAGACCCCGTCAGCAGGGTCTTTGGCCCAGTCTTCCTTCACAGAGGCAAAGGAGGGCACTGTCTCTCACAGCACCAAGCCAGGCCCTGCCTCAGGGCCAGGATGGCAGGGCTGGTACCGTCCTCACTGCTCTGGGCCTTGCCACGTCTGGGGTGTCACAAACCATCTAAGGGAGCAGAGGCACATTCTCCAAGATCACCCAGTGATGTGCTCTTTGTCTTTTCATTAACTTATCCTTTTATTGGATTCCCGCCCCCCTCCCCCGTGCCCCTCTGTGCCCAGCCCAGAGACAGAGGGCTGAGTCAGGCCCAGGGAGCCCACAGTCTGGGGCGAGGTGCCATGAACAATCCACATAAGGTGCATGCATAAGTGTAGCAGACAGTGGGCAATCCTTGCCTCCTGAAAGTCACTTCAGAGGCAAGTCCTTGGTGGCTTCCAAGGCCACAAAGACTTCTGGCCTTGTAGCCTCTGAGCCTCCCCACCCCCAGCCCTGGCCTTTGCCAAGCAAACAGGGTGGATTAGCAGTCTCCGGAAAGTCCTGGCAGAGCCTGGGCCCTGAGCCAGGTTCCAGGCTGGCAGGCCAGAGGGGTGGGGAGCCAGCTGGAATGGGGCCTCTGATCTCCCTTTCCCTGGTTCCTGCCAAGCCTGCCTCAGTTTCTCTCCCCTTTCTTCTCTCCCACCAAATATTTCTCCTTTCTCCCCCCTCACTGCCACCAGCGATAATTCTCCCACACACACTCCCTCCTTTGCCTTTTCCTAACAGTCCTGCGGTCCAGGTCCCACCTTTGCTTTCATGCTTTCCTCTCCTTGGAACGCCCCCTTGGGCACCCCCAGGCAGCCCTCAGCCTCATTTGTCCACCTTGCAGTGTCCTCCGTGCTTCCACAGCCCAGAGTGCTGACCCTCCACATAGTCCTTCTCTCAATGTGCCCCCCTGTGTCCTGAGGTCTCAGGCATGTCCTTCCCTCCTAGGGCCTGCTTCCTCATCTGAGAGAAGGAAGGGTTGAACACAAATCTCTCTCATGGTGGAAAAAGCTTGTACTTTGGAGTCAGATGGACCTGAGTTCCAACGCACTTAGTTCCTTGACTTTTCTGAGCCTCGGGTTCCCCATCTGTAAAATGGGGTCTTATAAAAACAGGCCACACAGACTTGTGGTGAGGCTTAAGTGGGAATGCAGATAAAGTGCTCCAAGTGGGTCTGGTGTTAGTTGCCCTCCCCTGGCAAAGGCCCCTCCAGCTGTACTGGGCTCCAGTTCCCGCTTCTTCAGTGGATTCCTGCACCCGTGATTTCATGGCTGGCCTGGAGGTTACCGCCTTCCTCCTCTGGGACCCCAGCCCAGGCCAATGAGAGAGAATGATGGGGGGGCCAGGGGATGGTGGGGCCTGGGCCTTGAGCTGCCCTGGTCCACAGATGCCATCCCAGGCCTGGAGGAAGTGCGGCTGGCGCCATCCATGCGGAACCGGAGTGGCGCCGTGTGGAGCAGGGCCCCAGTCCTCTTCTCTGCCTGGGAGGTAGAGATGCACATGAGGGTGACCGGGCCAGGGCGCCGGGGAGCTCAGGGCATGGTGAGTGGCCCCCACCAGAGCCCGGGAGAGGGGTGAGTCAGGGAGGCAGGCAGTGAGCCTGGGGTTCCAGGGTCCTGCAGGGACCGCTGAGTTGAGCAGCTGGGGACCCGCAGGCTGTGTGGTATACCCAGGACAGGGGCCAAGTAAGCTCTGTCCTGGGGGGGCTGGCCTCCTGGGACGGCATCGGGATCCTCTTCGATTCCTCGGCTGAGGATACCCAGGTGAGTAGTGGTCTCGTGCCTGCCCTCCCGCCCACACCCTCACCCTCCTCCCTGTGCACATGGCTCAGGCTGCTTGTCACCTCCCATGCAGAGCAGCCCTGCCATCCGTGTGCTGGCCAGTGATGGGCACACCCTCTACGAGCCGCTTGGGTAAGGGCCTGTTTGGATTGACCCCAACCTGATTCCTGGGCTGCAAGGGGCTCAACAGTTACCCACACTGCCCACTCGTGCCCCTGTCCCAGCCTGTGACAGAGAGCCCACCCCTCCTAGGGCTGTGCCCTCCTTGCTGGATTTTCATCGAGCTAATGGCTGCCACCCTGGAACTCCCTCCCACTTGGTCACAGCTGTGCATCCTCCTGGCTGAGACTAGAGTTTACTTGTTCTCCCTGGGAACTGCCCCACTGAGTCCTCAATTCATTCAACCAATGTCCCCAGGTCATGGGGGTAGTGAAATGACACAAGGTGGGGCCTGGGCTGAGTGTTTTCACTCACATCATCTCATCTGATCCCCAACACTCTTGAGAAGTGGGGATTATTAGTCCCTAGTTACAGGTGAGGACATTGAGGTGCAGAGAGGTGAAGTGACTGGCCCGAGTCACACAGCCGTGTGCAGAACTGAGATTTGAGGCCAGACTTCCTTGTGGAGGCTCCACGCCCTCTGCCTGTGCAGGCTGCCTGCCTGCCAGTGCGCTACCTTTCTCCCAGATGACATGGCTTCCCAGCCCTCCGGCCTGGCTGCCTCCTCAGTAGCTGGGCCGGTTAGTCAGTGTCTCTCCGCAAACACCCCTTAGCTCATAACAATTAGAATAATTGCTAATGTTTATGGAGCAGAGCTTACTGTACACCAGGCATGGTGCCAAGCACTTCACATTCATTTTCTTAGCTCACCCTCATAAGGACATTATGGGACAACTTCAATTATTATCCTCATTTTAAAGATGGGGAAGCTGGGGTTTGGAAAGGGGAGGGAACTCGCCCAAGGTCACACAGCCAGGAGTGCAAAGGCAGGTGGTTGCTCTGAGCTGGCTTCTCCCTGTTCTGTGCTGGCTCCCTCTTGGCTGAAGGTGGCAGGGACAGGTGCTGTGGTGTGAGCAGTGTCTGTGTCCCCCTGTGCCCAGAGAAACTCAGGACCTCTCAGCTCAACGCCTTCCTCCTAACTCCCCAGAGCCTGCTGCGCTGCTCCTGTCGGGGAGGCAGGCTGGTCATGTTGTTCTTGGCTGCTAGGACGTTTCTCGTGTTGTCTGTCCTGAGTCTGTCCTGCTGCAGTCCAAGCCTGGCAGAAGGGAGAGGAAAGACAAGCCCCACCCAGAGGCGCAGGGGCACTTGGAGTTTAAGGGAAGCGGGGGAGGGAGGGCAGCCAGAGGAGGTGTGGCCTGGGGGATTGAGGGGCGGAAACCCCACTCTTGGTCCATGTTCTGACCCCTGGGGAAGAGCCACAGGAGGCCCTTGGCCTCTTCTATAAACTCCAAGTGCCAGTACTCTGCCAGGCAGGGCTTGCTGTCCTGCTCCTCTCTCTTCTGCTAAGGGAGCAGACCACAGCAAGGGAGACTCAAGCTAGACAACAGGGACGCGTCCTGTACCAGTGAGGGGGAGTGGCACTGCACGCCTGGGCAGAACAACCTCTGGGGCCTCCCCCACTGGCCAGGCCTTGGGTCCTGTGTGGCCCAGCTGGATTCCAAGTGCCCACAGGGATGGAGCCAGCCGGGTGCTGGGCTCCTGCCACCGGGACTTCAGGAACCGGCCATACCCCTTCAGAGCACGGATCACCTACTGGGGGCAGAGGCTGCGCGTGAGTCACCCCTCCTGCTTCTGCAGGTCCTCTGGGTGGGGAGGGCAGATTATAGGGCTTAGAGCTACAGAGTTGCTGTGTGAGTGCCCATGATCCCAAGAGACTCATGCCAGAGACACTACACAGGGTCCCTGGTACAATACAGGCAACACCCACACAGGATCCTCCTCCCTACACAGAATCCTAACTTGCCTGAGCACATCCTTGTGAGGGTTAGCGTGAGACCAGGTGTGCAAGCCCCTCCATGCCATCCTCACACCAAGCCCTGTGGCTGCCTTCCCTCCTTTAGGGCCAGGGAGCCAGTGAGTCAGAATTGGGGTCAGGGGAGATGGAGTGGGCTCCACCCTCAAGGGGCTCTTTCCCTCCATGCCCCTCAGGTGTCCGTGAACAGCGGCCTCACTCCCAGAGACCCAGACGAGGTGTGCATCGATGTGGGGCCCCTGCTTTTGGCCCCTGGAGGTTTCTTTGGGGTCTCAGCAGCCACCAGCACCCTGGCAGGTGAGGGCCTTCTGGACCGGTAACAGCAGAGGAGCAGTCCCTAGCAAGCCATCCTGAGCATACCTTCCAAGGGAGCACAGGGTGTGAGGCCAGCTACTTCCTCACCATGTGACCTGGGCAAGTCACAAGCCCTCTCTAGGCTCCGTTACCATCTGGAAGGTCATGTCTGCCCCCAAGAAATGTTGAAATTCTCAAATAGGATAAAACAGGAGAAGCTTTTATTCCAGTGTTGGCCCCATAAGTGCCCCTAGCTGGAAGCTGTGGGGCAAGCGGAGGAGGGAGAGCCAAGAGGGACATTTAGGGAAGCGGAGCGAAGGGATGTGATGTAACGGAGAGTCCATGGAAGGACCCACGGCTGGGAAGCAGGGTGCAACCAGAGGGTGGGAGTCCTTGAATACCAGGACTTTGGTCTTTAGACCCTGGGCACTGGGGAGCCATAGAAGGTTTCTGAGGAGAAGAGTGGCATGGTCAAAGCCATGCTGAGGAGGTGGCCACTGCATGGTTGCCTCTGCCAGCAGCAGCTGTGCTCTTGGGGCCTGAGGGTGTCACGCTCAGTCTGCTGCCAGGGCTCTAGCCCAAGGCTGTCCAGTTTTCCCACTCACTGGGGTCCCACCTCTGGCTGTGTGTGGAGTTCAGCCCTCACAGCCCACCCATCTGCTTGTCTGACCCTCACCTCTTTCCTGTGAAGTGAGCAAGACAAGGGTCAGAGCTGCCCAAAGTCCCCCAGATCTCTTGCCTGCCTGGAATGCAAGAGCCTGAGGGGTGAGGGCTGAGTTAAGTGGGCTGCTGGGTGGGGGGGTCTTACCTTCCTTTCTCTACCCCCCTTTCCAGATGACCATGATGTCCTGTCCTTCCTGACCTTCAGTCTGAGTGAGCCAGGTCCAGAGGTGATGCCAGTGCAGGGCCTGCCCTGTGGGGAGGGGCGGCCCTGGGACCCTTCCCTCCCCAGATGCTTCTGCTCACGTCATGGTGCTGTTAGAGCTGTCATTCCAGCCTTGTCTCTACCTGATCTCTGAGCTCTGCTCAGGCCAACCTTGTACTGGGCAGTGCTGGGGGCCAGAGGTGACCCAGAGTCAGGCCCTGTCCTCAAGGACCTCCCAGGCTGGCGGGAGCTGTGGGAGCACAGAGGAGGGGTCCTAACCAGCCTGGAGGAGATGAGCTTGAAGGAGCTGTGTGGAGGAGTGGAGACCTGAGGCCTGTGAGAGCTGCGGGGTCTGGGCCGCAGCGGGAGGGAAGTGTGTGGGGATGGGCAGTGGAGCAGGGCTAGGGAGCTGAGACTGCAGGGCCTGGCAGCTGAACCGAGGGACAGCCAGCTGGCGGACTCTTCCCTTGCTGGCATGAATGTTTGTTCAGGGCAGGGAACTGAGCTCCCGGGCGCCCTGTGGGGAGGCTCCCCTCGCCCCCGGGTCTCCTACGGGTTTCAGACTGAGTTTTTGTCCTTCTCCTCTAGCCTCCCCCCGAGGCCTTCCCGGAGATGGAGCAGCTCCGCCTGGCAAGGCAGCTGGAAGGTCTGCAGGCAAGGTTGGCCCTGGGCACCAAGGAGGACATGGTTCCAAAGCTGAAGTCTGAAGCCCAGGAAGAGGGTAGGGACCCAGGGAACACCAGGTGGGGCAGGGACCCATTTAGGTGTCACAGGATACTCTTCCCTTTGAACCAGGAGTCCTTTAACCAGTGGGAAGATGGAAGCCTGAGGAGGCATATCTAAACAGGCCCTGGGGCCTGGGTGCTCTGTCCTGTCCCTGCCCCACCACCCAGACGCACCTTCCCGGAGAGAGTATTGGAAGCAAAAGCCACGCCTTTCTGAACCCCCCCTCTCAAAGAAGCTCCCAAATGATAGAATCTATTGCCCCACCCCAGCTGGCTGCCTGTCCCAGCTCTGCTCCAATTCCCAGGGGAAAGGATCTTTGCCCTGGAGGAGACGCTGGGCAGACACAGCCAGATCCTGCAGGCTCTCCAGGGTCTCTCTGAGCAGTTGGCCCAGGCTGAGAGGCAATGGAAGAAGCAGCTGGGGCCCCCAGGCCAGGCCAGACCTGAGGGAGCCTGGGTGAGTGACCCCTCAGGCACCCAATGGTCCACCTGCAGGCCTGGAGAAGCTGTCCTCCCTAGGCACTGGGTCCCATGGCACCAGTGGGCTCCCTTTGTCCAGAAAGAGGAGCAAGCACTATTTGTGAGAACTAGTGTCCCCCAAGGTCTGGAGGGAAAGGTGGATAGGGGTAAAATGCTGCACGTGACAGGATGGGGTAGAACCTGCCAGGTGGGGGAGCATGCAGGAGGGCAGCTCTGCACAAGGAAATGCCCAAGGAGCCACATGGCTGGGGCTGGGGAGAGGAGATGCCAGGTATTTGTATGTGGGTCTGCAGACAAGTGACAGAAATAGACTGGATGCTAATTTGCATGTAGCTCCACATGTGATTTGATTCACATACGGCTTGCTTAATGCTCAGATGCACCAGAATCTCCTGCCATCCTGGCTCCTCCCCCAGGAATCATGCCCCATGTCATCCCCAGCCTAGGGCCTGAGAGCTGAACTCAGTCAAGATGTTAGATGCTAGGCAGAGGAGGCCAGCAGCTCCTGTGGGCTTTGCTGGGTTCTGGCAGCTTGGGACTGAGTCTTGCATCCTTAGGCCAGAGCAGTTAGAGCTGGACTGCTGGGGTGGAGCAGAGGGGAGGGGCACCGCACTCCAAGCTCTCTGATGCTGCTTCCAGGCCCAGGACCCCTCCTGTCAGATTCCACCCACCCCACAGAGGGGTGGCCACCTCTTTCAGGTCACTCAGCCAGACAAGGGCCCAAGCACTGGGAGTTGACCAGCATTGGCCCCAGCTTGGACTGTGCCTTGGGGGAAGTGGGAAGAGGGGACTGGACTGGGCCTCTTCCTCCTTCAGGGGCAGAACCACTTCTGGGAAGGGGAGGGACTTTGAGAAAGCCCAGGAGTAGCCACTGTTGTGGGGGTGGGGGGAGACCAACACCCTCAGGGAGAGGGGTTTGAGAGGAGGGAGAATCCAGATGCCCACATGGACAATGTGTCCTCAATGTGTCCAAAATGAGGAGGGCCCAGGTAATCTGGTAAGGCCTCTGGAAGTAAAAGGGCTGCAGTGTCCCCGGGGAAGGTGACCTCTGAGGAGAGAGGGGCTGTGCCCTGGGCCCTGGGGAAGAGGCTGGCACTTCTGCAGGACTCTGCCAAAATCAGCACCCTGCTCCATGGACAGCAGACTCTGCTCCAGGACCTGCAAGAGATGAGGTAAGCCCAGGGAGAGGAGGGGTCCTGCGAGACAGGGACGAGAAGTTCCCATCCACCAACTTGCTTCTCTGCCTGAAGCTCCTCCATCAGCCCTGTATTCCTTTCATCATTTCCTGAACACCCAGCACAAAGCCTGGCGCACACAGAGGGGCTGGGGGCAGAATTAGGTTTGTCGAGTTGACTGAATTTAATTGAAATCCAGTTTAAAGTTTTGAAAGTCCTAGTTTAAAAGCAACTGTCCCTGGGAGAGGCCCCGCCTGAGGCCCCCTTCAGGCATTTCCGCCCCAGGGAGGGTCAGTAAATCTGAGCTTTCCTTCAGTGACAGCTCCTGGAAGGAGGAGATGTTCTGATGGGATTCCTGGAGGAAGCATAATCAAGATCAGGCCAAGTTGGAGGAGGCAGTCCCTGACTACATTTTGCCCCGCTCCAACCTCCCAGCATCCCATTCTAGGCCAGGTCTTGGGAGCTACCTGTAGAGCCCTGGCAGCAGGGGGGTCACTTTGATGCCATGAAAGAGGGAGGCTTCAGGCTGGATGCTCGATGCTGGATCCCCTGCTCACTAGATGCTTGGGGTGGGGAGATGGGAAGAGGGAGAGGAGTAAAATCCCCTGGGAGCTGGGAATGGAAGGCAGAGCAGGGAACCTGGGGTTGGGACAGCTTTAGGGAGACCCTTCTCTGAGCTAAAGGAGACTGAGGATCCAGGAAAAAGGTTTGGGGTAAGAAGACTAGCCCCCAAGAAGGTGCTGCCTCTGAGGATTATGAGAAATGGTTAGGAGGTCTGGGTGCAACCAGAAGGGATAGAGTCAACTCCCTTGGTTTCTATCCCCCACCAGGGATGCAGCTGCCCACGTGGTCTCAAGAGCCCAGGTCTTCTACCTGCCTGTAGGCACCAAGCATCATTTCTTAGAGTTGGCCCAGATCCTGAGCCTCCTGCAGAAGGACCTTCGGGGCCCAGTGGTGAGGGGGAAGGTACCGTGGGGGCTCCATCCCTGAAGTCTGGGTTTAGCCTCCTTCTTCCAGCACTTCTGCCTTTACCCTCTGCTCCCGGGACCCCTAGTTGGCACACCTATGTCTGTGTCTCTGTGTGTATGCACACGCGCACACAGAGACAGATGTCACCTTCTCTCTGCCCTCCCTGCTCTCTAGAGAGTCCCACAGACTGTCAGTGCCAGCAGGGCCCTGGAGACCACCTGGTCCGATATCCTCAATGACCAGAAGGGAAATGGGAGTGGGCCATGCCCAAGATCCTTTAGAGCTCCAGGGTGAAGCCCATGCTTCCTGTGCCCCTGCCTCATCTTGCTCTTTCCCTTGCCCTCACCATCACCCTGTCTTTTGCTCTCTACTTCTCTCTCTCATCTCTAGACCCTTTGGCCTTCTGACTATCCCAGGCCCCAGGCCTTCCCAGCTGTTCCCACAGATGGAGCTGTAGGAGCTGGGGTGGGGGGAGGGCAGCTTTGTCCTCTGCCCATCTCCAAGTGCCCCAGATGAGAGCCAGGGTACCCCAAGCCTGGGAGAGGGAAACAGAGCCCACACATGGCCTGGATTCCAGGTCCCCTCCCTCCTGTGTAAGAGACTGGTCCAGGGCCTTACAATGTCCTCTTTCAGAAAGCAGGAGCCAAGGACCCTCACCCACCTGGCTGGCTCCCAGGGGCCTCCTCATGCCTGGGGCCAGGCATCTTCCTGTTCTTCCTCCTCATCCAGACTGTAGGATTCTTCTACTATGTGCACTTCAGGTGGGCCTTCTCATGGGCAGGACTTCCCACACCTACCCGGCATCTCTTGGTTCTACGCCATAGCCATCTTATTGGAAAGAGGCGCCACTAAGGCCCAGGGGGAACCTGCCTGGCCCACCAACTGGCAAGGAGCAGTGCCCAGGCCAGGATCCATTTTTCCAATAGCCTCTACTGACCACCTGCTCAGCCGCTGGTCCCATCTGGGTCCTGTGCTCACAGAGCTCATTCTGTAGTGTGAGAAACTGACACGTAATTGATAGTCACATGCTATGCGGTCAGTGCCATGATGGCAGGAAGCTCAGGGGCAATAAGAGTACAGTAAAAAGCACTTAACCCAGCTTGGGGAGATGACGGAATAAACCTGGAAGGGCCATTTGATGTGGGTCATCAAGTCCGACCAGGGGTTTTTCCAGCCTTGCAAGATAAGTAAAAGGCATTGATGCAGAGGGAACAGCATGAGAAAAGGCATGGAAGCATGAAAAAAAGCATAATATTTTGGAGAAAAAAGTGCTAAGTTCAGTACTGTCAGAGCAAAGGATGGGACCAGTTTGTGAATCTGGGCAAAGAGAATTAAAAAGGTTGGGGAGAGGTCACTATTTCTGCTTGGTGGGTATTTGTTGAATGAATGAAACATTTAGAGATATAGGGTGTGCTAAGGGGCTCAGAAATGGGACTGACAGTCCTTGTTGGTGAAATTCCAAGACAAGAAGAATCATTGTGGGTGGGGTGGTCCCAGAGGAGGAGTGAAATGTGCTGAGCTTTAAAAAGCAGAGTAGGAGAGGACAGCCTCCAGGTGAAGAGAGCAGCAAGGTACAAGGTGGAAATGATGACAGGGCTATGTATTACATAGGAGTGTAATGGTGGCTAGAGCCACCTGGACAGACCTTGAATGCCAGGGGGAAAGTGTGGTCCTGATGGGGAGGCCAAGGAAGCCATAAAGGTCCCATAGCAGGGAGGCTGTGGTCCGTGAGCATAGGGAGATGAGCGTGGGAGCCTGGTTTCAAGAGCCCAGTAGGGAGAAGTCCAAGTAACCTTCTTCTCCTCTCCCTGGCAGCAGGCAGGAGCAGGACCAGAACCGTCCAGACTATTTGTCCACAGGCAGCCTTCCTCTGAGTCTGGCACCACCCATCCCTAGGGCCCTGGGGGTTCTAAGGAGGCAGCCCCTCTCTCCTGGCATGCATGCATGACCCACCTCAAAGCCCTGAAGGAATGTCCACTTCTCATCACTGGGAAGTAAACAGTGTCTAGCTGGGCGGAGGGCTTGGCCAGTATCCTCTCCCTCTAGGTGCCCAGCAACTACCCATACCTTAGCTTCTGCAGAGCTTCCACCTTATTAAAGATGACTTCCCTCTCCCCATGCTGTGCTATGCTCATTTACCTTCCAGCTGCACCTTAATCTCTCTGAAGACTTCCCCCTTTTCTGGACAGGTAGCTGAGAGTGGGCTCCAAGTACACAAGGAGGCCAAGAGCTGGCTTTAATGCCAAAAGACCAGACACCCCACAGGCCTTGAGTCCTGGACTATGGAGGGAGAGAGTCACAACAGTATAATTCTGTCCCTCCAATTCACCCAGAACAAGAAGTGGTGTCTCCAGGTGCCCTTCCTAGCTCAGCCAGCATCACCTTGAGCAACTCTGTCCCGCCCTCCCCTCCTCCCCGCTCAGTTCCAGGGGTCAGCAGGGCAGGCACGTGACCAAGAACTCTAAGAGGCAACCCATGGAGCCATGATTGGGATTCCCGCTCTCTGGTCCCCCCTCCCTTCCCCAGCCTCAAGCTCTTTGGGCAGCTGCTGGGGAAGCAGGTTGGGGAGAAGGATGGGGTGGGGCCCAGGGCTGGATCTTTGTCCCTTGCTTTTACTCCGATCTCCCAGCTGAAATCCTATCAGCGACCTGGGAAAGGAGGAAGTGGGCGGAGAGTAGGAAGAAAGGTTCAGGGCACGAATCAGCGAAACCCCTTTCCCAGGGGAGCGACCCCACCCCCAAAGGCCCTAATCCATTGTCAGCAGTGCCCGGCTGAGCTTGGGGTTGAAGGAGGCACGTGGGGTAGGCGGGAGTGTGGGGCCGGCACGTGGTCCAGCCTCCTCGGCCGCGTGCAGGCCCCCCGCCCCCCGAGAGGAGGGGTTTGGGGAAGTAGGGGCGGGCCGGGCGGGGGCCGGCGGCGGGAGCTGTCCGCGAGCCCTAGTGCTGAAGTAGGCTCGGACGAGCCTGGCGCCTGGTGCGTAGAACCCGGTGCGTGGTGCCCAGGCCAGAGAAGACCATGGCATTCATGGTGAAGACCATGGTGGGCGGCCAGCTGAAGAACCTCACCGGGAGCCTGGGGGGCGGCGAAGACAAGGGGGACGGGGACAAGTCGGCGGCCGAAGCGCAGGGCATGAGCCGAGAGGAGTATGAGGAGTATCAGAAGCAACTGGTGGAAGAAAAGTGAGTGGGATCCCTTCCCGGCTCCAATGACCCTCCCCCTACACCCCGCCCCCACCCAACAGTCACCTGGCCCACCCCTAGGGCAGTCTCAGACCCCGAGCCCTCCTCCCCTACTTTTCCAGACGCGGTAAGAGATGTGAAATGTGCCTCCTAGGCTGCCCCCAGAGCCACCCCATCTCAAAAACAAGACCCTGCCCCAGGTTCGCATTCGAGCCCAGAGGGAATGGGAACAGGGGCGAAAGGGTCCTAGGACGGTGCGGGCACGTGCATTTCTGACGAAACAAGTAATCCCTTAATCCGATCTGGTCCCAGCCGTCTGTGTCTTCCAACTGGAGCTCCTCCGAGCTTGAGTTTCTGAGAAAAGTGCTGTAGCTAAGAGGGGCTCAGAGTCACAGAGACTGTCCCTGAGAGGGGAGGAGTCATAGATACTGAGGCTTGTCATATGCCAGGAGTGCTGGGGCAGAGAGCCAGCCAGAGGGGAGTTCAGGGCTGGACTCCACAGCTAGGCTGCTTGGGATCCAGAGCCAGGCTTTTCTTCTTTTTAACTGGGTGACTTTAGGCAAGTTACTTAACCTTTCTGTGCCTCAGTTTCCTCTTTTGTAAAATGGGGATGGTGATCATAAAACATGCCTCATAAATTTATGAGGATTAAATTACTTAGTGCATATAAACTGCTTAGCATAGCGCCTGGCACGTGATAAATCATTAAATGTTAGCTATTATTATTTCACTTAATCCTGCCAACAGTTTTTTGAGTTGCAAAATCTTATCAGCATTTTACAAAAGAGGAAGGTAAGCGACTTACCCAAAGACAACCAAAAGTGGTAGTGGAGCCAGGATGCGAACCTAAGTCTGTCCTTAATACTTTGCTCCACATGACACAATCTGTCAGGGAGGGAAAAGACAGACCGAGTCGGAGGCCGCGAGGGACATATATCAGGGCCTGCAGAGAAAGACATACTGACGTCCCCGCCCGGAGAGCTCCGTCCAGCGGCGGGTGCGCAGACGACAAAGGGCGCTGTGATGCGGGGCCAGACAGCAAAGACTGATCGTGGCCGGTCTGGTCCGAGCACCCTCCCAACACACAGGCCCGCGGGCGGGAGAGATGCGGTTGCCCTCCAGGACGCGGAGACCCCTCCCGCCCCTTCCTCGCAGACCCTGCCCGCCCGTTCTCTCAGCCTTCGCTATGACTCCGCCCCCGGTGCCCCCGCAGGATGGAGAGGGACGCGCAGTTCACACAGAGGAAGGCCGAGCGGGCCACGCTGCGGAGCCACTTCCGAGACAAATACCGGCTCCCCAAGGTAAGCTTACAAGCGGGGCTGCGAGGCACATTCGGGCTCCGGACTCCTTTGCCTGACTCTGGGCACCGCAACTCTCAGCCTGTAAGACTCATGGAGTGCTTGGTTACATCCTTCGTTCTCTCACTCGTTCATTCATTCACTCATTCATGGTTAATTGGCTCCAGCCAAGGGCCAGGGCTTGGCGCTGAGGGGAAGCCCAGTCCGCCAGAGACTGATAGGTTTGTGTTTCTGGAGCCAGTCCAGGGCCCTTCTCTCCTCCACACCCCACTCCCCCAACCCCCGAGGCAGCCCGGGGCAGATGAAGAGATGGAAGGCAGTAGATTTTACCGCAGGGTTGAGTGCTCCTGGGGCTTCTGAACCCTCGGGGAGAGCAGGGTGGAGGAGAGAAGGTGGAACCTCTGTTGATCTTCATGCCCCTACCTAACCTCTCAGTAACTGCCAGGTAGCTATCACCCACATCTACAAATAAGGAAACCGAAGCTCAGAGAGATTAAGAGACTTGACTAAGGTCATACAGCCAGAGAATGATGGAGCTGGGGTCAGAGCTCAAGCCTGTGAATGCTGAGCCTGCGCTTGCTCCAGGCCCCCTGGCTGCCTTCCAAGGTACGGAGTCTGTCTGCAGAGAGCAAAGAACCCCTTGGTTGGCCAAGCAGCCAGGAGGTTGTCTCCCCTAGGCACTGCAGCACCAGAGGGGCATGTAAGTGTTGGCTAAGGAGGGAACTGAGGCATAAGCCACTCCCAGTGTCCAGAACTGTGTGAGACTGAGGGGAAATGGAAGTACAGGGCTATAGCACTCCTGACCTTGATCTTCCACTTGAATTGGAAGATCAGATACATGGACATCACATTCATTCATTCAACAAATGTTTACTGAGCCCCTGGCTGCTTCTGACTCCCCACAGGGCACCAGTCTTCTGGAAATCTCTCAAAAGGAAAACCAGTCCAGAAAGCCTACCTTTCTGGAAAGTTGCTGAGTTAAACCCAGCTAGGGATGGAGTCGTTGCTCCAAAGCTTGCACAAAGGGTACGAGAGGCATAACTCCTGCCATCAGGCAACTCTGAGTCCAGTAGATGAGGGAAGACATGGCTGTAAGTGAGTAGGACATAAAGTGGAAAGCCCCAGCGTCCCCAAAGGGACAGAGAAGTGCAGTGACAATCAGCAGGTGCCATGCAACGAGAGCAGAGATTGGAATCCGTGAGGCAGGTTTAAATCTAGCTCCTTCACTGCCTAGTTGTGTGACCTTGAGCAAGTTACTCACTTAAATTGGCTGAGCCTCAATTTCCTTATTTGTAAAATGGAAATAACAATACCTGCCTCAAGAGTTATTGTGAGAATTAAAAGCACTTAGCTCAATGTCAGCCATATAGTAGGTATTTGATAAATGGTACCCATCACTACTATCGGTGAGTCCTTTCGTATAGTTAATGGTAGTCACCATATGGCTTAGCTCACTGGAGCAGTTTGACTCCTAGGTATTTTCATTTCCTCTGTGCTCTCTATGCTAGTATCTTACCTTCAGTATCTCAGAGTGAAGTAAGGAGGTATAAAAGGGCAAGGTCTCCATGCCCAAGTGTCAGAAGCTTGATCCTGGAATATGGGAACCCCATCTAGGCCTCCTCCCTGCCCCCTCAACTCTGGGTCCTCACAGACCTCCAACCCCCTCCTCTCTTCCCTCCAGAATGAGACAGATGAGAGCCAGATCCAGATGGCAGGTGGAGACGTGGAACTGCCCCGGGAGCTGGCCAAGATGATTGAGGAGGACACAGAGGAGGAGGAGGAGAAGGCCTCGGTCCTCGGGCAGCTGGCCAGCCTCCCTGGCTTGGACCTTGGCTCACTCAAGGACAAGGCCCAGGCCACATTGGGGGACCTAAAGCAATCAGCTGAGAAGTGCCACATCATGTGACGACTTTCCCTGGAGTTGCCCACTGGGGTGATCAGAGGGCTGGGCCCACATGAGGGCTAAGAGCATGTCTCAACTTCCAGGGACCTATACCCCATCTTGGCTTTGTTTTCCCTGCTCCACACTAGCCTTAGGATCCTTCTCATCCATGGCCCAAGCCTACTTTCCTAGTCTCTCCCTCTCCACTGGGAGCGAAGTCCTCATTTCTCACCCTACCCTCAGGACCCCGACTCAGCCTGGGGAGGCCTCCCAAGATTGTAGGAATAGGCCCGTGCTCTCTGGCCATAGCCCCAAGTTCTTGCACATAGGAGCACCCACAGAGAGACACACAGAGGCACATGGGAACCCTGGGATGTGCAGAGGCATACACCACAGATGCATCCTGGCACACAAAGACACACACACCCAGGCCAGCTGCCCTGTGTGCCTCACGCCTCCAGACACCAGCCCTCAGAGATGCTGGGAGGAGGCTTTGGACAGACGCCCTCAGCAAGCAGGAGGCCTGAGTTCGAGTCTCCACATGTGTTCTCTTTGAACGCCACTGCTCTTTCTGGGCCTCATTTCATCATCTGTAAAATAGGGGTGGACTGGGTGATTTCTAACACTTTCTAGCTTGGCCTCCCTGGCCCTCAGAGCCAATCCTACACCCTTCCTTCAGCAGGGCAGCAGCTGCAGCCATAGCCTCAAGCAGCTGCCATTGTACTGTGGGCTCTGGCTCCTGGAGCTGAGCGATGCTGTGGGAGGGCCTGAGTACCAAGGATGAAGCTGGCACTGAACATTAGCCCGGGAAGCTCCAGGCCTCCTCTGGGCCCAGGCCCAGGCAATTTGTGTTCTGTCCCTGTAGAACTCTCTGGATTCCATAGCTGGATCTCCTCTCTTGGCTCAGTGAAAAATAAAAATTCCAAATGGCATGCCTATCCTCCTACTTCTTACTGACCTCCAGGAGTCTTGGGGTTCCCTTACCTTTGGAGGGGTGTCCCTTACCTCCTCACCCACAGCTTCATAGGAGCGCCAGCCCTTGTAAGATGTCAAACTCTACCCTCTCAGGGCCCTAAGTGAGGCAAGGTCCAGCCTGGGGCCAGACAAAATAGATCTGGGCTTTGAGGAAAATGTGGCAGCCAGCTGGATAGGGATGCACCTGGGGAAGGTGGGCCTCTGGGCCATTACCTGAGACCACAGGAAGGGTCACGGCTCAACCACAACTGTCTCTGGCACCTGTGAGATGAAAGGTGTTACAGGAGACAAGACAACTGCGTTCCAGCCCTGGCACTGCTATGTGACTTTGAGCAGGTTCTTTTCCCTCTCTCAGCCTGTTACCCCCCTATAAAATGAAGATCCCCTTTACCCAAAATAATAATACTACATGTTTCAAAGGGTGACCATTTGTAAATCCCTTGGCACATAATAGACCATATCAATAAATGGTAACTCATTCTTAAAAAAATGGAGAGCCCAAATCTCACCCTGCTCACCTGTAAAGGGTCCAGGAAACCAACCAGGAGGCTCCACAAGCAGGCCACCCCAGGGGCCTGAGCAGGAACAAGGTGCTACAGGCAGAGCCTGAACCCCCTTGGCACTAGCCTCGGGGAAGCTAGCCAAGATGTACAGGCAAAACTGCCATGTGAGGGTCTGGTTTCAAGGGGCAGAGTTTCCACTAGGCCTCCTTTGTAAAATAAGGACAAGGAACATACAACGTGTGCAGTAGATAATATGGGAAGGGACAGGAGGAGGAGAGAGGAAAAAGTGAGGACAAGGAATTAGGAGGGTGAGGGCAGGGAGGGACGCAGACCCAGGATGGGGGCAGTGCTGCTCAGGCTGTCGAGCTGGGCCTTGTCTCCTGAGCATCCCCGGGGAAGGTGCCCAGGCCTCTGAGCTGCTCCTAGGCTGCCCCCCTGGGTGATCGCTGGACAAAAACCCCTCCTGACCTTCCTGGAGCTGGAGAAGACCCATATGGGGGCCCCAGGCTGGGTAGGGGGGGCCATGGGCTTCCTCAGCAGCATCAGCAGCAAGGCCCACGTCAGCACTCCACCCTCCAGGGGCCTTCTGCCTAATGGGATTGGACAGGCCCCTTTCCCCTCAGTGGTTTGCAGGACCCAGAGTGAAAGAGGCAGGGAGGCGGGCTGTGGGGAAGCTAGGGGTTAGCATTCACTGACCCCTCACAAAACGGGCTGGTTGGGGCCTGGGGTCAGGGAGTGGGAGGGGACTGAACCCCCACACTGGTTCCCTCCTCACAGCCTGGGAACACCAAGAAGCCCTGACTTGTCTGCACATCCCTGGAATCGAGGAGGGGAGGTGTAGACAGAAGGAACAGCACCTGGGCTCAGGCAGAGACGGCCAAGAGGGTAGGCTGAGGGGTCCCCAGGCTCTGCTGGCCTCGCCCTGCCTCCCCCCTTCCTTTCCCTGCTCTCCGGGCTTCTCTGTCAGTCCACATCCTTCTCATCTGTGTCCCCCAGCCCTCAGCCTCATTCCTAGTTCATACCTGTCCTCCACCAGGCCCTCAGCTAGGGGCCAACCTGGCCAAGCTGGAGCCTCCTCTGTGCCTGCCCCCAGCCCCGAGCCCTCAGGACCTGTGCATGTCCACCATAGCTCACTGCTCTCTTCCCATCCTCTTTCTACTCCCGCTTATTTAGACAATCACTTGCTCCCTGTCGGTCCACCCACCTGATGTGATGTGAGGGCCATAGGGAAAGCCACTTGCCACCAAAACTTCCATTTTCATGGTGATTAAAGTCCCACCACAGGGCACCACAGTTTAGAGTGAGGAATTTACCTCTCCAGGCCTTCTCCCTCCCTCCTGTTCTTCCTTCCCCCTTCTTTCTTCTTTCTGACCCTTGGCGGCTGTCTAAGGATACAGGAAATATTGAAAGGTGAGGGGATAGCCCCTCCACCACCACCCCCCCTTTCAGGAAGAGAGATATGGCAAAGACAGCTGGCCTGCTCCTCCTCACCCCTGCAATACAGGGGAATTCAGGGAGATTGGTAGCAAGCCCTGGCCTCTGCCTGGCTCCAGTCCCTTCTCCTGCCTTCCACCCATCCAGACAGCTGAGGCCTAGTTCCCAGAGGGACTAGGGTACAGAGAGAACAAGTGACTTTCCGGAGGCCAGTTGGTCCTTGGGAGGACCTGGGGACAGTGAGGGGTTTGGAGGTCAGAGGATCTCCCCTTTCCCCAATGGCCAGATGGTCCCTCCTCAGATACTGCAGCCGACGCCCCTCTCCCCTGCCAGGACCGGCAAGCAGGCGCTGGGGACTTCTGGGGGAATGTTCATTTGCTGAGACTGAGCTGCTGGCAGTGCCTATTGACCCAGCTGAAGCCTGAGGCTGGGTTAGGAGTGGGAAGCCCCTGTGAGGAGAGTGGGAAGGAGCCAAAGAGCCAGCCTGCTGTCCTGCCTCTAACCCCATGCCTGCCAGGCATAGCTGTTCCCAGAATCACTGAGGCTTGGGGACAGCAAGGGAGCCAGGCCGGCTGGGTCAGGGGAGCAGCAGCATTGAGGCTGCCTCACCCTTATTCAGCAGGACCCGTGCCTGGGGATGTGTGTGTATAACCATGAGGTTAAGTCTGTGTGGGATCTGCGTGGGGCTGTGAGCTTGTATGTGACTTTCAGTATTTTTGTATGTGTCTGCTGCCTGTGGCCTGTTAGTGTCTGTGTCTGTGTGTTTGTGTGTCTGTGGGATTTTGAGTATACAGGTGTGGATGTGAGTTATTCTGGGGAAAGTGGTCCTTGACATGCCCCCTTCTCTCATGCCCCAGCCTCAGGGTTGGGCCCTCCCCCTCTCAGGGAGGGCTGGGATGGCAGCTGGCTTCTGGGGACCAAGAGACCTTCTAGATGACATCCTACAGGAACCAAGGCTCTATGTCCTTCCCCACTTCTGCAATTAGCAAAAGAAGGGGTAGACTGTGCACAGGGACACCTGGGTCCCTCATTCTGCTCCAGAAGCCCATCTGCTTCTCCCAGGGCTGGCCCCTTGGGAGAGAGGGGCCTGGGCTCAGGTGTTCCCCCAGCTTGGCCCAGTGCTGGCTCTGGGCTTGGGGACTGAGTGGAGGTGGGAGGACAGGGCGAGTGAAGCACCCAGACATTGCTGGGGATTGTCTGCCCTGCTTGGGCATTTGCAAAGTGTAAAAGGTGAGACTTTCGCCCCAGGGAGGAAAAATTTATTTTTTAAAAAGCAGATTAGTATATTTCCCAAGGCCTCTGCCATTGGAAGAGAGAGAGAGAGAACACTAGCCCCACACCCTCTGGCTGGGCTGCCTCCCTCCTTGGCAGGTGGCCTGGACTCAGGACCAGCCTGGAGGCCATCTATACGTTTTGCCCAGGGAGACTCCTTTCCCAGGTCCTCTCCACTGGCCTCAACTTCCCAGCCCTTTCCTGTACCCAGTCCCCCTAGGGGGCCCCTCCTCCCTGCACCCACGTGTATAGGAATTTCAGGTGCCTGTTCTCAGCCAGCCAGTGCAGATATCACAAAAAAAAAACTGAGGTCTGTGGGCCAATCCTCCAACCTGTCATCCTCCTAGCCCGTCAGTCATTCAGCCAGTCCCTCCTCATTCCCGCTCTCCCACCCAGTCTTCTCCATTTGTCACCCACCAGCTCCATTCATTCCTCTCCTTCCTTTCCCTCATTTTACTTATTGAGGCTTTTTCATCTAGCCCATTCTCAGAGATAATCTGAAGTACATTTCTCTCCCTAGATCTGAAAATAACATTTTATTGAATTCTTATGTGCCTGCCTCATGTACAGTAACTCATTTAATCCTTACAAATTCCCATGGGGCATTTTTATCTTCATCCTTGTTTTACTGAGAAACTGGCTAATCAATGGGTCCCGAGGTTCTGGGCCAAGTGGCAGAGCCAGGATTTTAGCTGCGCCTCCCGCCTTCTGGACCACTGCTCTACACTGCCCCCCAACGACCAGGCTTCGGGGAAATGAGGTCTCTCCTAGCGTATTTCCCTCTCTGTACAGAAGCCCTTTAATCTTGGCATGGAAGGCTGAGCATGTGGTGGGCTCTGCTAAGCCGAGGAAGGAACTGCTGCCTTGGCGATGGACTGCCCCTCCCTTAAGTCCCCAAAGATTCTCCTGAGTGCTGTTCTGACCGAGAGCTGGGTAGGAGGGTGGCTGGGTGGGGAGAAGGGCCTGCTGGAAACGACCCCAGTTTGGGGGTCCTGGGGGGCGGGGTATGAGCACAAGACACCCTAGAGGATGCCCTTTTTCCCAGTCCAGTTCACTGCTCACTCAGCAGCCCAGGAGGCCAGGGGTCTCTGTCCAGGTCAAGGGAGTATGTGGTGCGCAGAGCATGAGGAGCGTTCACAGAAGCCTACCCTTCTCCAGGTGCAGAGGAAGGGCCTTGCGCGCGCTCCCAGGCCTATGCTTGCCGGCTCCCCAGTGGTCCCCTGGGTGGTAGACAGGAATGGTGGCTGGTCAGCCTGACTCTCCTTGAGCCCCCAGGAGCTGCGGGCAGGAGGCAGATGTGGCTGTTACTGCCTCCACCCCCCTCCCCCCCACCCCGTGGCCTCTCCAGCCCTTCCCCAAGTTACCCAGCTTTCCCTGGGGCCCCTCCAGTCTCAGCCTCTGCACAGGGGCCCCCTCTCCTTTTTCCCCCAGGGCAGGAAGAGAAGCACACCGTCAGAAAATAATTTAATAGAGAAACAATGAATTACATTCTCCAAGCCCAGCCACCTGCAGGGCAGAAAGACAACTCTTGCCCCAAGGAGGCTTTTAAGGGCAGAGAGAAATCTCACACACACACCCTCTGTGATTTTTTAAAAGAAACCCCTAAGTAACTCCAGGCGCGTACATTCTTCTTCAGATTAAAGTCACCCTCTCCTCCTCAGAGTCCCTACAGGGGACTGAGGAGGTATTCACAGCCCCACTGGAGACGTGGAGCTCCAGGCGGAGAGGGGAAGGGCCTTGCCGGGCCA